CATTTGATATGAGTTTCAGTGTTTCCATTTTCTCCACATCACCTAACATATTCATTCTGCTCTTTAACGTGTTTCTCACTCCAAAATGCTTCTGCATTTCGAACAAAAATAAAACACTCGAAAACCAACTGAATTATTTCACACATTGCTAAAACATAAATGAATATCATATCATTTTCGATTTTTTTCAGGAGACAGGAACGAAACTGATCATTTCACCTTTTTTAAGAGTCAGTGCAGTTCTGAAAACCGACATCCATTCAATAATCGATCTTTTTTGCAAAGGTACTGATCATACTCAATATTAGCTTGCCAAATGAAACAAAACATTCGAAGAAACGATAATCGAACCATGTTTCAGATGATCGATATGGGGTTGTAACGAAGTTTTTTTTTTGAAGTTGATCACATTTGACTGAATGTACTCATGTTAGCGGACAAGTTGTGTGGTTTCTCGGAATCGCACTCGATACGATAGTTTCAAATACAATATTGTTATTCGGCAATATGATCTATACTTTGGAATATCAATCACCCTTCACAAATCTTTCTTCTCTTTAGATTCAAACTGAAAAAAGCGACTTGCTGTATTTTTGCAAATTCCATCATTTTTTCCACTCTATTGGATACGATTCCCATTAACCTGCGCATTTTGTACGCCTTATGAAAATGATCCATTCGATGCAATCATCTTATTTGATTTGTGATAACTTGCATAATGTCACTACAACAGATCAGATCAGTAAATATATCTCATTTTAGATCAGTGATTCTCAACCGTTTTTCCACCCCCAAATTTTAGGTTGTCCTCACACCCCTCACAACACCCACTTCGCACCTCTCATCCACTACAATGAGTGTCTGTACAGTATATAAGCCCATACGTGCATCCCCAGTTGAGAAACCCTGCATTAGATGTATCCTTCAAATGAAACGGTAATTTTGAAGTGGATGTTTACCATTTGTCAATCTATCCATCTGCATGAAGATGCAGTCACAGGCAGCATTTCATGAACGACAAAGCATACTCTCATTACCATCAATATGTAATAATTATATCTAATTACAGAGCGCCAACATGTGTGCAATCCTTTTAAATTGATATAGGGATTTGTTAGACTGATGAGTGATTCATGTTATGAATGAATTTCTGACAAATGAACGTGCATAACGCTCGAATATCATGTTTTTGGTAAGCGAACAAGGGAGTGAATGTAGAAGGTGATTGAGGTGGATATTTGAAGAACAGTATGAAATTAGGAGGTGGAGAAGTGCATGCATATGATGAGGCATGATTGTGGCTTTCGATGAGTGGCAGCTGTCTTATCTGCAATTTTATGCTCGCTGCGAGAACAAGATGAGTACACCAACAACATCACATCAATATTTTTCGATATTATACTAATATTAAAATTAGCCACATAAGTCAAACACTAATCATTATTTCATTTCTTCGTTCTTAAAATGATAATGTTGTTGAATGAATGACATCTATGATACTATTATTATAATTGTTCCATGTATACATATGTGTTTAATCGTATGTTAGCATGCTTAACCACGTGTAAAACGCATTATATAAAAGCAATCTTTTTATCTTGATTATCTTCATTCATCTGTCGTACTTCTTTCATTCTAATCGCAAACGTCTTCATCTTCTCTAATCATACATTTCTTCTCATATATCGACACCAATTTAAAACGGATAAACCCTCTTCCTCTACAACCAACAGAAAACAATCGCCTTCGAGAGACCTAGCAGTTAGCCCAACAAATGTCCAATGAATGACAGAAATTGGACAATATAAAATATTGTCAACTTTCTGTACGTAAGAAACGTTGGTACGACTGAACCTATAAGAATCGATTTTCAGACATGTAACGAAGCTTTCGTTAGCCTGAGCTCACTCATTATATAATAACCGACATTGTCAAGATGAGTAATGATATGATTTTAAATAACATGTAATGATGTAATAACAACGCTTGTGACTATGATAATAACATTTACAATCATTATTACTATTTTTGAAAGTTTTGTTGCACAATAATAGTGGAAAACTTCTTAGCAGCATTGGCATTTGTGTTTTGGCTGTGGTTACATAATGATAAATGAACTGAAGTACATATTATAGATCCGCCATTCATCACGATATCAGTCAAACTCTAAAGTTTAAAAATGACACAGGGAAATATAACCCGCTGATAAATGACCTCAAGCAATTGATTTTATCTCTAATTTATGGATTTCATTATCAATCACATCAATGACGATACGCTCCGCTTACTGAAAGAACACAGTTTTGCTAATCAATGAACAACGGTGAACAATATATTCACATATATTCGTTTGAATGGACTGTTGATAAAATAGAACAAATGACGGTTTTAGTGCTCCATAAAAATTGATATAATGATTAATTCCATAAACGTCGTTCACAATTGAATGTGGGTGTTTATAACGATAAACGTTAAGTTCGTCATTTAATTTCCGGTAGGAACTGTGAATGAACTTCTTTAAAGTACTTTCTTCTCAAAACCAGTTTGACGATCCTTTTCTAATTTGTTCAGTGTATTGAAGGTTTAAAAAATACAGCAAATACACTGATGAGCTACAACTGATGATTTTCAGTTTTATTTCATTA